TTCATTGATCATGAGTTGGTTAGTGTCTTTCCTTGCCATCATACCCTTACAGAAACTGTTGGAATATGGTGGTGAGCAAATGGTATTGTATTTGGGTGAAGTAAGTCGTAGAATAGACTCTTACATCTAGATACTAAGTATTTCTAGTCGCTTGGAGAGCTCCTAGTAATCACTCTCGACAAGTAAGCGTTCTGGCCTTCATTTGATAACTTTGTTTTGAAAATGTCCCTCAGCGTGGTTGAAGCAACCCTCGCCATCATCCTGCTTACCCACTGCGAGCTCAAGCTTCTCCAGAGTATTATCGTTGGTACGCTTGTCGGGCAATCTTAGGATTGGGCTTGGCTAATAGCCGAATTACATTAGGTGTCGTTCTGCTGCATTTGCTCCTCGTGCCGGGAATGACCTTCCTCACGGGCGGCGCCCGAATTTGGGAACAGCACCTCGAACCCCACCCTACCCAGCTTAATCACTCACTTCTGACCTTTGGGTACGTTTCCAAATTCACGCCTACGCACTACGAGGCGCTCATCCTCACTCCTATGTAGCGTAATGTCCCTGCTTCTCCCCATAGCTTTCTTCACTGCTCTACCCAAAACTCTTCCAAACACCACCATGGGTGCCCCATCTGCCGCGGTCGCGCTCCTTAAGCGAGCGGCAGAGGGCGGCCATGGAGAAGGCAAGGACACTGCGATCCAAGAAGCGCTGATGCGCTCCATAGAGACATTGGCTGTGCGAGACGCTACCCGGGGCACGTTCCTCAAGCTTAGCCGCGGCCTCGCTATTCTGTTGCTCATCGCGTAAGTCGTAACAAACCTTTGCCCACTCCGCAACCACATATTCTCATTTCGACCACTACAGCTACGTCGGCTCTCGCATCTACCTCCACAACCCTCCAAGCAACGATAACGCCTCAACACCATCCAACGCACCCGAAGCCGGTAAACGCCAAGAACACGAGCTCAAACACGAAGAACCACAGATCAGCCCATGGTTCGGATTCGTGCTACTTGCAGTGACCGTCGCGCTCATCGTCGTCACCGCCGAATGGCTCGGCTCGAGTATAGAACAGGTTCGGGACCAAGGAACGATTAGCGCCGAGTGGCTCGGGCTTATTTTGCTCCCGCTGCTAAGTTATGCGGCCGATGGGTGTATCACTGTATTGTATTTCGTTCGGACTGCGTTGTTCTTCCATCCTGACAGCCCGGATGAGCTTGCCAAGGCGAGTAGTATTGATTTGAGTATTCAGTTTGTGTTATTCTGGGTGCCGGTT